TGTGAAAACAGAGATGAAATGCTTAGAAGAGATGCAGGAGTTTCAAGGAAAGACAGAATACGAAATCACAAAATCAGATGAATGCTAGGAATAAAGCCAGTCTTACAAGTCATCAAAGAATAACAAATGGAGTGGTTTGGACAACTAACAAGAAAGCTCTGGTAATATCTGCCACAGCAAGCCACACTAAAACATTATAACGGGTATAGAGCGAGTGGAAGACTTCAGAAAATTTGGAGTGATGGCATTAAGAACAGCCTTACAGAAATGAACATCAGTTTTAATAGTGCTGTTGACAGAGCTCATCAACGAATGTTACATCCCCCTCTCCCCCCCCCCCCCCCAACACTTCGCTGAGGCGCAAGGTGGAAGAAAATAAAAAGAAAAAGTCAAGAGAATTATGAGACTAGTTTAAGAGTCCAAAAAGTGACTAGCATGTGGTGGCTAAATGTATTAGACTCACACTGTCAGAGAAGAAGGAAGGTGTATGGCCCATGCTTGTACTAATTATTGGAATTTATAATTCCTAAATACCAGGAAGATATTTTCAGTACCTTTGTGTGTGGCCTGATAATTTTAATAATTATATTTCACTCTTCTTAAATTCTCAACTCTGTTAAATAAAATTTAGCAAATGCATTAATTCATAGTTAAACTTGAGTTAGTGTTGAATATTTTATATTAATAATACAACAGATGGGGAAACCATTATCATATAGGATTGTGTTATGAAATCTATACCAGCACACAGTTATATTGATTGAGATATTTATAATTTCAACTAATTTTCAAACTGCTAAACTCACATGAAATGAGTTTCACAGCCAAGTAAATTCACTCCCAGATTTCCATTCTTGAAATACAAACCCATGTGGTTGCAGTTTGAATACCTTATGACATGTGACTGTATTTAAGCATGTTAACCCCTGAAAGGAGTACGTATGTAAAGAGAGCAGAACAATTCATACAGCTGAATGTTTTCTTCTGTAATAGTAACTGATTTGACAGTTAGAATTAGAATTAAAAATTTTTAGTTTAGTATTTCTTTTAATTTCTTTTGACCTCCACAAATTCCCTAGTGCTATGAAAGTCCCTCTTGCCTTTTGTATTCTTATTTTAATATCTCCATCAGTTCCTCCATCTTTATCTACATTACTGCCTAAATAGGTGTACGACTCCACGTCTTGGAGTGGGGTGCCATTAAGAGAAACCACATTACTATTTGCCTCATTTATTCTCATTATCTTTGTCTTTCCTTTATGGATTTTCAGACCAAGCTGCTTTGATCTCGCATTAAGTATATTTAATTTATCTTGCATCTGATTCCGTGAATGGGACAGAAGAGCAATATCATCAGCGAAGTCCAGATCATCAAGCTGTTTTGTAGGGGTCCACTGAATTCCATTTTTGGTGTTAGCAGTTACTGTTTTCATAGTCCAGTCTATAGCCAGTAAAAATAAGAGAGGCGACAAAAGACATCCCTGTCGCACACCTGTTTTTATTTCAAATGCATCTGTTAGCTTTCCCTCATGAAGAACTCGATATTTCATGTCTTTATATGTTGCCTTTACTTAGTTGATAATTTTCTGTGGGATTCCATAGTGCCCCATCAATTTCCAGAGAGATTCCCTATCTATGCTGTCAAATGGTTTTTCAGTCTATAAATTTAATGTAAAGTGGTGAGTTCAGTTCAATGCTTTGCTCTATTATAATACGTAATGTGGCTTCTGATCAGTACAGGATCTGTTTGACCGAAAACCTGTCTGCTCATCTTTTAGCATTTTATCAACAGCATCTTTTAATCATTCCAAAATAATTCTACTTAATATTTTTCCAGGAACTGACAGCAACATAATTCCTCTATAGTTTTCACACTCCTGTAGATCACCTTTTTTGGGCAGTTTCACAAGATATCCTTCTCTCCAGTCTGCTGGTATTTCTTCGGTCTCCCAGACTTTACTAAATAATCTATGTAGCAATTCTGTTGATGTGTTTATGTTGGCCCTGATGGCTTCAGCTGGGATACCGTCTGGGCCTGTCGCCTTTCCTTCCTTGAGAAGATTTATAGCTTTCCTAATTTCCTCTTTGGATGGTATCTCACAGTTGATATCCAGTTCCATTTCTAAAGGCTGGATATCTGGGGGAACCTCTGGGCCTGGTCAATTTAGAAGCATTTCAAAATATTCAACTTATCTGTCCATTTGATCTTTAGTGTTAGTAAGTACCTTTCCTTGACTATTTTTGATTGATCCAGTTGGCTGACTATATTTACCTACTAATTTTCTTGTGTTACTGTAAAGTTCTCTGAGGTTTCCTTTTGCTGCTGCTGTTTAGTAAACACCATTCTATACCCCACTCAGAAATGTGAAAACATATAACTACCCTACTTCATGTGTGGGTGTAGTGTAACAGTATGAAGACTGAAGGGGGCGTGGCCTTTGGTCCAGACTCACATGTTATGAGTTTCACACCCAAGTAAAATGTGACTGTGTTTAAGCATGTTAACCTCTGAGAGGAGTACTAATGTAAAGAGAGCAGAACAATTGAAACAGCTGAATGTTTTCTCTCTCAGTGACGTTAAACTCATGTGCTTTGAAATATCCTAAAGAAACACCATTCTTTAACCCACTCTGAAATGTGAAAACGTCATTATCCTACTTTGTATGTAGGAGCAGTGAAACAATATGAGGACTGAAGGCAGTGGGGCCTTTAGTCAGAACTTTCCCAACTGCTTCTACAGGGACTGTTCAGTCTACGGGGACTGTTCAGTTACTCTAGTTCCAGATGGAGTTCTAGTGAAGTTCCTAAGTAGCTGCAGGTGTCAGATTGTCTAGACTGGACTAGAAGATTCGACAGACAGGGGTGTCCTAGATAGCAGTTTGGCTTGGCACGTCATTTAGAGCTAGTGAGTATGACGTAACTACAGCCCTGGTCATTGTAAACACGGTAGGCTTCTAAAAGCGTAGGCCATGATGAATGAGAGGTCCAAAATATACACAAAAGTGAGTTTAAACAGTCGTGAGCAGGGCATGATGTTTTCTTGGGTGAGCCTGGTACCAGAGCACCATGTATTGGCTCTGCATTAGTGGAAGCCTCCTTGGATGACGGTGAATCTTCATGCTCTGACCCTGCTTTTCTTTGATAGTTGATCATCTACATGCTACACCCTGGATGAGTTCTCCGGGTACAGCACCCGTAGAGTAAGGCAAAAAAGAAGACACCTCACAAATAATGCTACGTCATATCCATCCAAACTATCCGGAGAGGCTAACCTGGTGAACAAAAGCCTGATGAAGTCGGATCTGTTGGCCAAAAGGCCCAAATATCCCATCAGTGCTATAAACAGGTAAATGCAGTTACATCACTTGGATGAAGGACATTCAAGATTTGCAAAATTAACTGTCTTGATTTGCTACGCACCAAAATTGGATACAGAATAGAAGACAAAAGACACATTATACCGCAGTTTGCAAGCAGCAATAGAAGACATCACAAAACATGATTTACTATTAATCCTTTCAGACTTTAATGGACGACACATCGAGGAAAACATGGAATATAAAACAATGACCAACAGTGGGTAAATATTATGCCATTTAATTAAAACAAATGATGTATTAATTGGAGGAACACTGTTGCCTCATACAACAATTCATAGGTCACATTGAGATCCCCAGCTCGATGCATGGAAAGACAGATCGTCCATATTATCACAAATAGAAAATGAAGATATTCTTTGCAAAATGTTAGCGTATGCAGATCAGTAGATATAGGGAGCGACCACAACTTACTCACGGGGAAACTTGCATTTGAATTATGGAAAGATAAAATAGTAGAATGAAAGAAGTTGTGTTATAATGTAGCAAAACTGCAATCTACTGAAAATTGGACAGCAAATAAATAACAAATAGATACACCATTTTATAAAAAGAATCAAGCAAAAATTGTAACTGAAAATTTGTATAAAGCACACAGATTAGCAGTGAGGACAATTTAGATTTAGGCAGTCAAAGAAAGAAGAGTGGATTTCCAAGCAGTCTGGGAGAAAGCTTAAACAGAAAAATTAATCGGACGAATGTTAAATGCAAAATCATACACACTTTAAAAAAAAAAAAACTTTTTATAAAATATATATGAAAGAATAGTGGGATTAGAACTGCAGGCGGAAGATGGTGTTTCAGCGTGATAAGTAGTATAAGTGGGTGTTTTTAGGTATCATATTTGACAGAGAAAAAACAACATTATACAAGAAAATAATCAGGATATATTATATCCCCCGAGTATTTTCTATACATCATATATAGGAAAATATTCCCAGTGGCTATGTTATTTATTTAAAAGGTATTTTTGTGATTTACAGCTAGGTTGTGATATCTGCTGGTGAATGGATTGAAGGCCCAACAAACATCCAACACCTGAAGCAGGTGGCAACGAACCACCAGACATTGAGAGCTATGACCTTTGCTCTATGCACTGCCCTCAGCCCAAAAGGAAAGATTAAGGCAATGTCAAAAGAAGTATTGCGAGACATGTAAACTAGAGAATAAGCCAGAGAAGAACAGTAAACCAACACAAAACTGGTGTTATCAGTAACGACTCATTGAAGGAGATACTGAAGATGGGATCTAAGCTCTGATGGACTTGTCCAATGTGGGATGGGTTGATTAACAGACTAAACTAATGAAATATCACAGCGACTAGCATGCATACTTGTGTGCTTGGTGGTCATGTGTTTTTTAAATTTTGCTATCCATCATAGTGGCTTTAACTATTTTTTTAATTTTTTAGCTGGCATTCTATGGTAACACAGCCTAAAATTAGTACTAAGAAATTTTATTGGAAATAAATGACTATTATTGACCATATCTCCCTTTGAGCGCAAATTGGTCGATTTACATTTTGGGCTAGCACGATATACCACAAGGTATTTAAAAAAAACATTGGTACTGTTCAAAATAAATTCATAATAAATATGGTCTCCTCATTGTTTACTTTGGCAGGAATCTAGATGAAGCTACAAAGTCAGTGTACACCGAAAATATCAGACTAACAGAGGCTCTAAACTACCATTTGAAGGAAGAAGATAATTTGAAGAAAGAAAGAAACAAATTGTTGGAGGAGAATGCTAACTTGAAGCAGGAAAAGGAGGTCACTGAAATGATCGTGCAGAGAAAAGTAGGACAGCATAAACATCAAAAGCAGACTATTAAAGAGGTATGAATTTGATAAATTTGTCTCAATTTTTAGTTTGCACATAGATCTCAAAATAAACTTTTCAGTTAAAACTCTTTTGCTTAGTAAAGTAAGGGATTCTTTTCTCACCGTTGGCACAACATGCATATTGCACTAGACCCACATTTTTATAGACAAGTTGGCACCCAGTGGGTGAAATGTTCAACATGACACCCTGCTACATTTACTTCCCATGACATTTCATGGTATACATTTAGGTTGGATCAACCTGGGAGACAGAATCATATTTGTTTACAAATCTACCCAATATAGATTTGAAATCTGGATAGTTGGGCAGACAAACAAACATCTAGCCATTGCACTGTTGTGGCTCCTTAATTAATTGCTAACATATGATTGATATGTGCAGCAATGAACCTCAAGGGCTCGGAATGCTGAAGAAGAAGATGTAACTGTGACTAGATTATTCGGGTATTGACTGATATTGGTCCAGTGGGAGTTGTAATCTGACTGGGTTCCTGTGGTGTGTGACTGGACAACAATGTTTGTGTGGCAGGAGACAGTGTAGCTAGCTGTTTTCATTGTCAGTAACTATGTCCCTCTAACAGTAAACATTAACTCTCGAAGGAAGGATATTCTAGAAGAAAGAGCAGGACAAACTACTGGAGGAGAATGTAAGCATGAAGTGACAGAAGGATTGTATACAAAAGATGGTGTGGAGCAAAGTAGAATAGTATAAACATCAAAGGAGACATTTTAAATGTTGTTTAATGTTGATTTAAGAATTAACATCATAGCATTCAGGACACTCCCATAAGCATTTCCTAATCATCTTCAGCTGCAAGAAAAGAGTTCCAATTTCGATGACACCAGTAACTGTCTGATTTTATATCCTTCTTGCCTTTCACTTGAGTGTTGAGCGTCAGCAAGATCTCTTGTTAACTCCTTGCAGTACCATTCTCCTCAGACCGTAATGATCTATTTGTGCCTCCGCACTGTTCTTTCATGTCATAACATCTAGCTTGTCATACATCAGTTCGTCACCAAGGGGTGCAGAACAAGCCAGTCTACTGCCTGCTCATTTCCCAACACATTGGCATGACCTGGAGAAAATATCATAAGGATACTAACTACCCGAGAACTCTAAAGCGATGCTTGCCAATCTGCATAGAGCATGCCTGTCTCTGCCTTTTGCAGCATGCTCTGTGAGTGGGTTATAATCACAGCATGTGTGTACAGCTGATTGTTAAGCCAGAGGAAGGCAGCAGCTACTGTCTTCACCTCCATTTTCAAACTAGTCATTATGACATCATATACTAGGCTTTGTTGCACTGAGCGATGCACATTCATTTTTGCTATGAACGCCTATGCACTTCATCTGCCCCTCAACACAGAGCCATCTTTATAGATAATCACATCACTTGTGTGGGAATTGTCATAAATCATTTGTTGAACTTCTGATTCTGCAGCACTAGCTGGTGTGATGACACAGTTTGTGACTTCAGAACGTGATTCTTCCCAATAAAATTGTTTCTGTGTAGTCTGAGCTAGAGAGGGAAATATTCCCAGAAGCAAAGTGTTAAGGATCAGATAACACTGACTAGATAGACTTAGTGGCACCAGGAAAGGAAAAGCTCAGACATAGTGGCTGGAGAGTTTGCTTGTAGAACTAAGGTGTCAGATAATTATCTCCTAGCCAAACCTTTAGAAGCAGATAACTCAGGCTAATTGTGATTACCTCCCTACAAGATTACCCACTTGATTGCAGGTCAGATTTCGTAGTCATGACATTGGTCTGATGGAGGTGTTAGGAGACAGAACCTGGCAGGTTTAAGATGGAAAGAAAGGTGTGAATTTGTTTACGGTCATTGTCCAGCTTGTTGGACCATGAGAATGTAACCATGGGAATGCAAACAAGTATGGTGCAGTCTTGACTGACAGTGAATGGAGTTACCATTGGAAGGAGCTTTGACATCCTTTAAAGGAGAGTGGTTTCAGGAGTAATGTAGGAGTAGCTTAGGAGAGATTATAAAAGGGTGGACTCTAGGAAAGTTAGACTCTGCTATCAGCACATGCAATCAGCACATCATTTGTTGGGTTTAAACCCTCAGCTTTGAGACAGAACTTTTGGCATTGTGTTTTCATTTTCCATGTAAGCGAAACTATTTTCAACCTGTATTTCATGATTGAACTCTGAAGTGTCTCTTTGCTTAAGTGGTTTGATGTTAGAAGCATATTTAGAATAAATCTAAAAAATTCATTGTAACATCCGGAGTAAGACAGAGACATATTTTATCTTTACTGTTGTTTATCACCTACATCGACAGTAGTATATGCATGGATGCCTATCCATGGAACGAAAATGTTAGATCAGTGAAATACCCTTTGTTGATTGCCAGGCATTGATAGCAGATAAATACAGCATTAACTTGCAACAGCATCTGATACAGCATTAACTTGCAACAGCATCTGACATCTATAAATGAATATTTTAAAAATAATAATATAAAAATCAACAATGAAAAGATAGAAGTGATGTCAATAGGATGAAAGAAGTATAAACTAAAAATGACCATATAGTGCAAAAGCATTAAACAGATATATGAGTTCTTTCTTCTTCTTCTTCTTCGCGTTCACCAGCTGTAAACTCTGGCAGAAGGTTCTGGTGGCTCGTCCACTACTGAACTGCAGTCCTGCTCCAGAACCTGAGTGCTGCGTGTGCATCAGTTTCACAGATCTCATTCTCTTGAATACAGACTGTTGGTTCCTTGCCTCTCTGGCAGATGCACTCCGACTTCAAAGGAAGCCCCCAATTAGTCGACTCTTACGACATGCTTTTGGGGAGGCAGTGGATCTATTCTTGTTTTCCCCACAATGGGTCTCTGGAACCGACACGGGGGATAGTATATGAGTTTAAATATTGGGTAAACTAAAACAAGAAATCAGGAAACTTTAAATATAGTCAAGAAATGGACAGACTCTTGGGGAGTCATAATAAACCAGACCAATCCCGTCTCAACTCTCTTCTCTCTTTTGACAAAGCTAGAACAATTTGGTCTGTATATGGATGGCAACATCTTTCCAAAAGAGGAAAACCCCACATATTTGGGAGTCAAATTACATAAAAGGCAACATCCTTCCAAAAGAGGAAAACCCCACATTTTGGGAAGTAAAATTAAACAAAAGGCTCACCTGGGGCTCCCACATCCAAGACACCCAAAGAAAAGCTACCCTGAGGCTCAGACTTATGAAGAAACTTACTTTAACAAGCTGGAGTGCAGATGCCAACACTGTAAGACAAGTATACACAGTATATGCACCACCAAAACTGGAGTATGGCATTGGAGCATACTCCATTGCAGCCAAATCAAACCTACACAAATTGGACAATCGGTCAGTCAATCATTTGTATTATATAGTAAAATGTGTAAAACTGGTTACATTATTACATCAAGTGCCATGCCGACAAGTGAGGGCGATCATGCCTCTCCAGGGTCTGTTGTGGTGTTGATTGTTAACTGATGAGCTGTGGTTAGTATACAGATAGGCGACAGTTATCTACAAACATGCAGCAAGGGGCAGGGGTCATCATGATCTCATAGAAGTATGATGCTATGACTGTATAGAGTAAAAATGAAACATTGTTGCAAAATAGCAAATGTTATATCATAGTGTTAGATGCCAGTAGCACAGTGGGGGGGGGGGGGGGGGGGAGGGGGGGGGGGGGTTTGTCGTGTCAGCTAGTTACATGAATGTTTTATGGGTGTTAGTGCTAGCCAGGCATATGGTACTATGACTTTATATAGAATAAACATGAACATAATAGCAAAGGAGTGGATTGATTTCATTTGATTTGATTCAAGAACCGACATCACAAGATTTGAGGCATTCCCATAAGCACCCTGTCCCCATCTTCAGCAGCCGGCGAAGAGTTCCGATACTTATGGTGCCAGTAGCATTCTGATTAAACGTCTGTCTTGCCTTTCCTCTGAACCTCCAGCATCTGCCAGAACCTCTTGTCACTCCCCGCTGCATCAATTTCCCCAGACTGTGGTGATCCATCTACTCCTCTGAACTGTACACGCTCTCCCACAAGGCACTAACCACCTCTGCCTGATCATGTATCAGTATTTCACCAGATTGTGCAGAGCCAGCCAGTCTGTCTGCCTGTTCATTTCCCAACACACCAGTGTGAAAAAATCCAGACAATACTCCTCACCCATGTCCTCCACAGCGAAGCATGCCACTCTGCACGAAGCATGCCTGTTCTGATCTTCCTCAGCATGCTTTCTGAATCAGTTACAATTACAATGTGTGTGTGTGTCGTGTTCTCTAGCTAACGGAAAGCTGCAGTGACCTCCTCCACCTCCAATCCTAAGCTGGATGTTGTGGTATCATATCCTAGGCTCTCCTACACCAAACGTTGACCATTACTTTTGCTAAGAAGCCCCAACCACTTTTTTTGCCTCTTGACACTGAACCCTCTGTGTAAATGATCAAATCCCCTGAGCGAGCATTATCTTGAATTAATTGCTGAATTTCCACCTCCGTGGCACCTGCTGGCCAGTCTCTGCATTTCCGGCTCAGCGTGATTATGACTCTACACAAGTCTGACTGCTCAGGTGGCACTTCGACCCACTCCTCTCCTCGCCTAATGTTCTCAAGGATGCAAACCTGTCTGATTGTGTCTTCTGCCTGAGCCATCCATGACCTCCCTCTTATCAGCCGCTGACCTTTAAATGCACCCAGAGCTTCATGCAAAGGGTGATCTGTGTCTGCAGCTACCCTGAGATATGACTTCGCCTGCAGCACTTTGTGCCTACCTGCAACCGTCAGCAAACCAAAGATGTATCGCATACACACCACTGGGGTGTCTCTGGTGCAACCCAGAATGACTCGCATAGCCGCGTTTTCTATGTGCTCTAGTTTATCCATCTGACTCTTTGAGACGGTGAGCAGTCCCAGACCATAATCAACCACTGACAGGATCAGGTGCTGATATAGTGTGAAAAGCATTCTCTGTTCTATGTGCAAAAGAGTGGATGTCATGTCATAGTGTTGGGCGACAGTGGATCGCTCTGAGATCAAGTTGTCATGCAAACTAGTTACATGAAGGTTTTATGGGTCATTGAGGGTCACTGCCTATGGGGCTGTAACTTTATGTAGAGTAAAAAATTGAAATGTTATGATACAGGGGTTCATGTCATGTCACACTGTTAGGTGAGTGTGCTCAGTGAGTGGGCGTGTCATATGTTGGCTAGTTAATAAGATGTTGGGTATTGGGGCCCCTGTGGCATATGGTGCTATGAATTTTTGTGAAACAAAATAGGAAAACTGTCCATCATGCACTACCTTTTGAACTCAGACCACATTGTAAACAAGGATGATGCAATTTTAATTCTTTATATGTTGACCAATCGATTATCTAAATTTCATTGAAGTGGTCATAATACATTGCTTCCACCCGGATTTGTGCCGGTAAAATGACATAGCGGAGAACCTGTGGTTGCCTTGGTAAAGCATGCAGTTACTTGTGAGGCACACAGCTTCTAAAACTCAGATATCCTGACAACAAACAACAGCAGTGTTATTTAAATGCCACTGAGATTTAAAAAAAAAAATTTTTTTCAGTTGATGGACAGAATTAAAATTCTCGAGAAATCTCTTAGCCATGTTGTAAAAGAGTTCGAAGCAGAACGTAAAGATATTATTTGCAGAGGAGAGATTGAAAATGCTTCTGCAAAAGCTGAAATCCTCAAGTTACAGAGAGTAATTGAACTGAAAACTATAGAAATGAGCAAAGTAAAAAGACTGGCTAAAAATATTCTTGATGAAAGGACAGAACTTGAGAATTTTTTCCTCACAAGCTTGGATGATGTTAAAGCTGAAATAGCAGCAAACCGGTAAGTGATTTTAAAATTTATTAGCTTTTTAAAACACTTTTTTCACTCAACAAATTGTTTTCCTAATGTATCAACTTACAAAACTGATCTGATTTAATGTTTTCTAATTAATTTTACTTTAACCAATTTTAAAGAATAGATTGAGTCTAATACACATCACCAAGAACAGATTTTACAACATCATTTTGACTCCTTGCATCAAACCTGCATAAAGTGTGTAATGAAAATAAACATTGCGAAAACTGAGGTAATGAGAATAGACAGGAAACCAAGCAACATGTATTGCGAAACATGGCACTAAAATATAAAATAGCGACCTGTGAAATGTACTGTCTTCATTTGTCACTAACAACACAAGAAGGGACAGGGTTGTGAATAACACCATTAGAGAGAAATAAAACTGTCTAAATTATATTGCCAGATGAAGAATGAAATGGTTCAGCCATCTAGTAACAATTCAGCCAGACCTTATTGCCTATGATATTTCTTACAGCAAAACAAATCGGAGGAAGGTGAGGGGAAGACCAAGAAAGCAATGAATAAACTGTGTAGCTGAAACCTGCAAAAAAGATGAACAAGTCCGCCACACATGGCACCCGAGAAAGGCAAGACAAAACAAACCCTTAACACTGGACTAGAACTCTGTATCAGTGATGCTAAAAAAAAAAAAGAAGAAAGAACAGAATAATTTTCAACAGATTATTCCCTTTATCCTGCCATTATTTACATTTGACAATAGGTTGGGCTCTCCTGTGAAGGAAATGCCTAAATCTGTAAGGAAAACATTACCAATCAATGTAGCCAATATGTGAATGTTGCTGAATCACGATCTTATTACTTCTTAAAATGCCTTTGGGTAGATGTGAATTTATAGTGCTGGTCTCTTACACCCTGATTGTTTCCGGGCTTCTTTATGTTTAGTCTCCCACCCCGCCCCCACCACCTCACCCTCTCTCCTTCCCCCCAGCCAAATATTCACACACTATTTCCATATAGCACAGTTTTGATAGAGAGATAATTATCCACAGTCCTCTGAGTAACGTTTGACAATTCGTTAACATGGAAAAAGAAAACACATCAACAAGGCAGCATCTAAAACCAGAATAACGATAGCTATCCTAAGTAAACTAAGTGGAACAACTTGGGGTACAAATTGAAAAATACTTAGGAAAGTTTATCAACAAAGTCTATGACCACACCTTGAAGACGGGTCAACTGCGTGGAGTTCAGCATAAAAAAACCACACTAGAAAAGTTAGACAAGGTGCAAAATCAAGCGCTCAAGGTCATAACAGATAGGATGATTTCGACATCTAAAGCTGTGATGGAGAAGATGGCCATGACCCAAACACTGACAGAAGGAAGAGACACTAAGATCTAATTCAAGCACATAAGTTTCCTAGCATGCCTGAACATCCTAGGAAAAGAAGATTTAAAAAATCTAGCAATGGGGCATTTAAAAAAAAAAAACCATAGGTCTGCCTGCAGCTGAGAGCCCTTTAAATGCTATTTCAGATCGGACCCCTTGGAAAAAGGATTATAAGTTGCCAAAACACACCCAGACAGAAGTGAAATAAGTATTCGACAAGGAAGAGCAAAACAGAATGTTAAACAGCCACCCTCGCTCTACTTGATGATGAATACCCACAGAAGATGGAGATGAAAGAGCTGATAAACTAGATTAGGAAGGTGCAAATGAAGAACAACCTGACATACCAGTCTCTTATCAACAAAAGAAGAGAAAAATCAAACCAATCAGAAGCCACCAAAACTGGAACAAGATGATTATTATAAACAGACCAGAGCAAGTTATTATTCTACACCTTAGAACAGGACACAGTCGACTTTGCAGTCACATGTACATACAGTTCAAAGTTGGTGAATCAGCCATGTGCACATGTGGATTGGCACCTGAGACAACAGATCACATCCTTTAAGATGCCCCAGATACAGCATATCAAGGCAAAACCTTGGGCCAAGAGAAACACTGGTGTAAGCCACACTTTATGGGCCACTGAGTGAATTACAAAAGACAGAGAGACAACATGGCAAATTTAGATAATCTATTTTAAGCGAACGGAAGAAGAAGAATATATATGTGCATTGGAAACCATTTTACATGTTTTTTAACTCTATTTGTGTGATGACTCATCATCATTAAGTATTTCAGCCTTTGGGCTAGCCATAACATTTCATGATGATACCTTTTCATTGTGGTTTGTCTTTAATTCCATGCATACTTGCTTTATCAAATCAGGTATAAAATACCAAAATATTTAACATATAAATATGAAGGAAAGAAACAAAGGTTTTAAAAAAGTAAAATAAAGGTAGTGTGCCAAGCAAGTCTTTAAAACTTACAGTGATTAAAACTCTTAACAATAATATACCGAGCACCACTTGTTGTAGCTTAAAAACTGCACCAAATGAAGTATTGTCTACTAGAGTATTAAATGTAGTTGAGACCACAAAACCACATTAAGTGAAGTGTATAGTTAAATGCTTTTATAGCAATTCTATGTTTTTCTGAGAATCCTTATTTTTCCACATTGTGGAATTTTTATTAATAATATCAGTCGGAAGCCAGCGACAAAGAATTACTATTAACATTTCATATCTGAATTATGCTGTCAAAAAAAAATAAAAAATAAACTTGTGAAGTGTTGGATTTTGAGAATGTATAATAATAGATGGTGGCAGGTATGAGGAGTAAATTTAAACTTAATACAAATGGCCAAAGTATACTTTCAATAGTAGATATATTCAAATAATGTGAAACACATCTTACCACCTACTTCATAATTTAACATTTAACTTTTCTACTGTGACGATGAACCCCAGTTTGCTCCTTCTCATCTCATGACCAAAGATTGCAGACTGTCTTTTTTTTCTCTCTTATTTAAAGTATTCAGCCCGTCTGTCCATTTAATCTTTAGTCTTGGTGGCAACTTACCCTTGACTATTTTTGATTGATCCAGTTTTATTTCTTCCCCACTAATTTCCATGTGGTACTGTAAAGGTCTCTCAGGTTTCCTTTTGCTGCTGTTATCTGCTTCTTCTGCTAGGTCATATGAATATTTTCTTTCATCATTATCATCAAAAACCACTTCTGCCGTGCCGTTAAGCATCGTGGGGAGGAATAATCTGTGATCCAGTGCACGGCTGCCACTAGCTATTGTCATGCTGTGAAGGCATAGAGTGTCTTTAATGTTGTCGATCCATATTTTCCGTGACCATCCTCTTGCTGTTGTAGCTAGTCATCCGAGATGTAGTGCTTGTGATGGTATTTGATATTGCTGTATTCTTGATATGCTGTTTCTCTATGAATCTAGTACAAGGTTCCCACAATTTGGTTGATAATCTCATTATTCACTCGATCTCAGATGGTTAGGTTGGCTGCTTTTCTCAGGCATCTCATCTCGCAGGTAGTGATTTTGCGTATATGAGATTTTTAGATCGTGTCAATGTTGGGCACTGGTAGTTAATGTTGGAATGAATATGCTGTTTATAATTTGTCTCTTTGCACTCATAGTTTTGCTAGGATGTTCTTATTATGATGACATTTGGTATATAAGTGCACTTGCTTTCTGACTTCTGGTTTCTATTTCTTTGTCAATTCTGTCTTCTTCCATTATCATACTTCCTAGAAATTCAAATCCCTAACTGGATTCAAACCAGAACCATTCAATTGTATGTGTAGTGGGCCAGAGGCTCTACTAACTTGCATTGTTTCGAATTAGTTTGCATTGATCTTCATGTTATATTTACTGCATGCTGAGTTTACCTGTATATGTGATTCTTCAGGGTAGAACAAGCACTGGTCGTCAGCAAATAGTAGTTCGTTTAATGTGGGTGAATCGATAACTTATTCTGATGTGTGTACTTTCTCAGAATTATAAAGCTATATGTCGTCTGTATCAGAACTTGCTTCTTTAGATATTTTGTCTATATAAATGTTCAATAAAACTGGGGAGAACACACATCCCTGTCATCCCTGTGTTGACTGTGAACATATCTGATATGCCTTCTTGTGTTCTTACTGTACTTTGGCTTGTGTGGTACATGGCTATGATGTTCTCTAGTAACTGTCCTTGTACCCCGTAGTTCTCAAGAACAGACCACAGTTTGTTTCTATCTACTCTATCAAAAGCTTTTTCCTGATCTACAAACACAATATTCTGTTTGGTATTATACTCAGTGGCTTTCTCACACACTTGCCTCAGAGTGATTAATGCATCTGTGCATCCTTTGCCTTATCTGAAACTGAATTGTGATGCAATCAACTGTTGTTTAGTTATGGGTTTAACTCTCTGTTCTAGTAATTTGGCTTACATTTTGCATATATTTCTTTTCATTCACCCTTTTTTGCATCCTAACTTCCTCATTAGCCCCTATGCATTTTTTATAAACTGTAGCTTTAGCAGCTCTAGTTTTGCAATTGTCTAAGTCTGCATTTAAGCTTTTCCTTTCTCTGATTTTATTAAGGTATTTTGGTGATAACAATGCATTGTGTTTTCATTCCTTTTTGCTAAAAACTTCTTCACAAGATTCGTTCCAAATTATTTTAGCCTTTTGCCAGAAAGCTTCTGTGCTGACCTCCTTAGGTAACTTTTCTTTGTCGGTAAAGTTAAACTTTCCATTTGATCACAGATAGCATTCACCATGACCAGTTTATCATAAAGTAGCTCACTGCCCAGAGTAGAGGCAGCAGCTAATCTATCAGCCTGCTCGTTACCTTGCACAACTGATTATCCTGGACAAAAAATCCAACTACTCATGATCTGAGTCTTATTAAGAAATGCAAGTCACTCTGTGCACATGACACCGGTTTCAATTTTGTGAAGCATGTTCTGTGAATCCGTTACAATTACATGTCAGAATGTACTGCTCTCAAGCCATGGGAAAGCTGCTGTAGCTGCCTTTACCTCCGTTCTCATACTGGAGGTAGTGACGTTGTACACGAGGCTCTCTCCTTTCTTTGCAATAAAACCCAACCACTCT